GTGTCGTGTTGTGTTATATGTAGTGCCGACGTAGGACAGTTTTCCAATTTCATTGTACTACTGTACTATGTATGACTGTGCAATGACAATAAAGAGTTATCTTATCTTAATACTCAGGCTGTGATCACATGAAGGTGGCCATTAACTTGATAAGCTGACCCAGGTTTTACAGTCTATTTACAAGTGCATGAACGGGGTGGCATTGGCACCAATCACGATCACAAACACGGACAGGCTGAGTCTACAAAGGAGAGTAAAACTAATAGAAATGTATGATGAGGTTAAAGACAATGCAGACTGAGTATAACACAGCTCACCAATCAGCAGGATTACAATTACAATGTCTAATTCAAAAAATGAGCTGTGGAGTAGTATAGTATTAATTCTTTGAATTTTTTAAACTTCTGCATCATTACTGTGACCCCTGTCCCCTCAAAATAAATAAATAAATAAATTAATAATAATAATAATAACTTGCACAATAAATGTTTAAGGAACAAATTGCACAAATATGGCTGATGGGATACAAATGAAAAAAAAATCATACAGATTATAATATTATTTTCATTTTTTAAATAAAAGGACTTTTCTAGCAATTGTTTCAAGGGCTTAAGGTGCAGTTGTGGTAAAACTGTTTGCAGTCAACACGAGAAAGTCATTGTGTTATGTTGTGTCTACGAGAGCTTTATTACTGATCTACCGATGAAGAAAAGACTTCAGCTGCTACTGAAAAACTAGAACACGTTCTGTATCATGTTAGATACATAGTGTTACCCAGGTAAGAAGTGATACTAACCCTGTGTTTTCATAATACTGACCTTGAAACTACTTTGATAAGCTTGAATCAAACCCAGCATACTTCAAATGTTTTGGAAAGGAACCAAAAACTAAGAATGGAACAAGTGAAATATGAGGCACTTGGCATTAAATAATGACACTTTAAATTAAAAAAAAAGTCAGTCAGCAGAGTTCAATCTGGGTGTGGCTGCCATGAGCGCACTTTTTCCTTTTTTATATAAGGTTGCTTCACTTGGAAGACAGGAACTGGTTCTGCACAACTACAATAACTAAAGGGCAATGATTTCATTAATTATACAAACTCACCGAACAGAAAGTGGTTGGCCAGTGATGGGTGAGGATCATTTTGGTCCACATGTGTCTGAAATATAGAAAGATTTCTTAAAAAACAAAAACCAGGAAAACAAATTCAGTCTATCGTTACATAAACCTATACGTTCTAATGAACCACCTCCTAAGTGTTTGTCTGTACTTACTTGGATGAAATTATGAAAGATGAGGACATGGTTAGGACCAGGCATATCAATAAGGGGTAGCAGAGCCTCATGGTTGTCCTAAAATAAAATAGCAGGTTAGTCAATAAATGGCAGCTTATATGTAAAACTAAACATCTACATTACATTTTACATATACAGTGTGGAATCAGTAAGCACGCAGCTTTGTGGATTCTGATGAAAATATGTAACTGACACACACAAACAATCAAAAAGCACAAAATAAGACAAAAATATTATCCCGGCAGTTTTTCTGTCGCTCTTCAAACAGATATAAAATGCTGTTTAAATAACTTCAAAGTTTCACAAACGTATTAACTGGGCCTGTTTGGACAGCTACTTTAATATCTGTTTGTTGTTCCTGGTATGAAAAATACAGTCGACAGAAATGTCTATCAACACAAATATTGTTAAAAAAAGTATATATACACACACACACACACACTTGTGGGTCTTTTATTGACTCAGTTTACCTATATGTGAAACTATTCTGATTAAGGGAACAACCTTGCCCTCAGACCAAACAAAACATTTGGAAGCCCAATGTAAAATCGTCTGGAGTCACTGCTGTTGTTAAGGAAATAAAGAAATGGCGACAGAGAACTTTTAACGACCCTTTTACTCGGTGTGATTAGATTGTTTACGGTACTAGTTCACATTAACCAAAATTAGCTACAGTAGATGCATTTGCAAAAACTATAATCCTAGCTATCGACGTTTAAAAACAATCATTTAGCGTGAAACGCCCGACTCTTTTATGTCAGCAAAAAGATCGTATTACACACACATAACATATTTTTAAAATCTCTCACCTTGCGTCAAATACGTCACAGCCGAAACTCGCAATAGTTCTCAAATGTGAAACAGTTTCCCGAACAAATAGCTTCTGTCGGTTAAAGTACTTCACACGGTCCATAACCGACAGCCCATTGTTTGTTGTTTATGTTCCACATCGCGTCACTACCTACCTGTTCACTTAGCCAATCAGAAGCGATGCTCCGCTCATGCGTCATCACGCAGCAGAACCGGTGGCTTCATTTATTCTCCGGAGTCTGCCGGTGATATTTTCAAATGTGGTGCGTTGATTCAACAGTGTACAGACGTCCCTATCCTCCAGTCAAAAATATGTTGAATATATCGTCGTCATATTAGAATCACTGTACTAAAGTATTACACAGTCATTAGCATTACAACTTTTTCTGCCTCAGTGTTAACCATGAGGTTGATCATTGAGCTAAAGCGAAGACAAAACAGAAAGAAAGAAAAAGAAATATAGGCATATTTTGAGTTTGTACAGACACGTTTTACGGATATTATTGAGACAAAAATCAAAACAAGAACACAAAAATGAATTATTCAATCTGAGTCATTTTATTTTCTTTAAAACATATTTCTTGACAGCCTGGTGGATTGAATATGCGTGCTTATGCTAGGCTTAGAAAAAAACCGGGGAGTTTACTTCACATGTCATTTGCGACTTTGTACATTGACATCTGCTTGGGATTTTTTGACAAGTTGGCACCAGCTATGCAGAACACGAAAACGGAAGCGTGTGACAGCTAGTCTGCGGATTAAAAAGCCCAGAGTGAACACGCGAGAAAGCTGATTTACTCTGTCAGCACCAATTAATGCATGTTTTCAACAGAAATTGGTCAGTATTGGCAAAACTGTCTTCAACATAAAGTAGGTTAAATGTACTGTATACAGTACGCTTCTCCTGTTACTTTTCACTTAGCATCTAAATGAATGGGCCAGCCATAATAAATATGAGGCCCCATTATTAGCCAGTGTGTCAAACTAAAGGTATGGAAGGAACATTTCTAATTTATTTCACTCTTGTCTTTTCAGGCTGGCTGTTAAAAAGTATTTTCCATCATAAACAGAGCCTGATTAGACTCCATATGTCTGCACTGTCTGTTTTTAGCTTTCAAAATCTGTTTTTCAGCCTCAGTGTTAACCATGATGTAGCAAAATGATCAGGGAGAGTATAGTACTAAATAACCAACAGGGGGCTCTTTTCCTACCACAAAAGCTTATGGTTTTGTTTTTACCCCCAGCACCACCACACAGATAGACACAGACACGCACACTTTTTTTCTGTAATTTCTAGACTATACTTAAGCCATTCTACTTAACTAGATGAGTCACAGAATATTTAAACAGTTATTATTATTATTTATACTGAACCATGGCTTTAGAGATTAGAGGTCAGGATAAAGGGTATTATTGACTGTCTGCTTGACATGGTGATATGTAATAATATTGAAAAAAGCAAGGACTGGTCTTTGGGAATTCATCTTTTTCATGAAGAGTTTAAAATTAAGGATTATGAAATTTGTTTGTTGCACAGGTCAGTTTTTCTTCATTTCAGGAGCTGCTGATTGATAGAAAAATTTGACCCCTGCAAATAGAACTTGTTAAGAACAGCATCTCTCCGGAAAGCATTAATCCCCAGTCACATCAATTTTAAACTGACTAGGTGTTTGTCTAAATCAGCTTTTCTTGTACTCTCATCTTTTGTTTGGCGTATTCATTCTCCTGTCTATGTCATCAGCACCACGTGAAACCACAGCCATGCCTCCCTCTCCCCGTCTTCCCTTTTTCCAAATGTGACTTATGCTGTCCTCTCATGTGATTTTGTCTCAGATGTGAAATGTGTTTCAAAGCTCCTCCACTGTGTCAGGAATAGTCAAGCTGTAACTGTAGCTATTTTTATAAATAGACCCTGGCCAAAGTTCAGCATGTGGCACAGTGTCTTAAGACATTTCTCAGCACAGAATGGTGAAAGACCTTAGAGAGGGTCTAGTATTAACTAATATGCAGCTAGATTTAGATGTAGCTATAAACTCATGATCCACCGTATCCAGCCATTGTAATACAGAATTTAAATCTGTTTTCCTCAGTTTGAGTGTGCATGTTTTAAAAGCTCTATAATGATGCATACAGTGACACATTTTATTATTCATTAACATGTTATTGTGGCATGGTAAAACTCATTAGTTAAGTGCTACTTGAAAGCTCTCCATACTGCTGTCTAGTCTGTGGGGCTAAAAGTGCTGCTGGTGAAAGTGTGGTATTGCCCCCCCTCCCAAAACATAGCATCACTGTTGTCAGATTCTCTGCATTGTCTGTGTGCTCTCGTATACTTAAATAACTCATTATTAAGCATGCACCATTAATTTGGAATACCAAAAACAAATCGGTTGGCTTCCATTACAAAGTGTAATGAATAAACTCTATTATTCAAATAGTTTACTGGTTCCAGTAATTATGAGTCTTGAAGGATACTGGTTATATATAGGCAGCTCTGTCTCCTTTTAAGGCCTCACGGAGAAGCAGGTGGGGAACAGTTGAAGACGGGTGGTGGTTTTGTTGGCCCTGTACTTGGTTTAGGCTGACTCCCTGTGGATTCAGCTTGACAGCCGAAGTCGCTGCAAAGGGAATCTCAAGGGGTAAGAAAATCAATTTTAAATTCAGTTTTATGCTCCTCTCTCCTCTGGATCTGCAGCTTTGTTTCAAATCCAAGTATAGCTGGTGGGATCAGTGGGATGGCATAGAGAGAACAGACCGAGGCACAGCCAAGAGATGTTTCTTGCTCCTTAGTCAGAGCTATTAATGATACTCAATGTGATGAGTGATACTATATATTAATTTCATTTTATTATGAATATTAATTACTGCATTCGCGATATGTGGTGATTCATTTGGCGTGAATGAGTGACCAACAGAGGGCTGTCTGTCGGTGTGCAACGCTTGGACTTTAAATGTGTTGGTTTCATGTATACTTGAGCTCATTTATCCGCTAACAAAGATTATGCCTCAAGTTAGAAAATGTACAAGCGCTTGAGCCAATGTTGAGCTACTGTATTGTTGCTACCACTAGTTTTGCATCTAGGTAGAAGTGTTTATGGTCAGACTGGAGAAATTCAAAGGCTTGCATTGTTCTGACTGAGATCTATAAAGTTTTACAGCTACAATTGAGATGTTTGGGTGTTACGTGAGGTAACACCCACAGTATGTTTGCTAATACCAAATAGTCAGACAGTTACAGTAAGACTGTGGTTACCCATTTCAGGGAAAATATAATGACTGTAAAAGGGCAAAATACGAGTGATGGACATAAATAAAATATTGTGCTTCATTATTCAAATGAGAACGATTATTTTTGCTGTCTGGGGATAGAGGTTGGAGGCAAGGGTTTTGTTTTGTTCTTTTACTGTGGCTGACTTTCTGCTTGGAGGATCGCTTTGGGCCAATAGAAGTGATGCATACAGTGACACTGAATCTTAGCAGTGTGTTTCAAAGACATGGAAGTAGAAATGTTTTTGCCGGTGCAGCACGTCTCAGTTGCCTTCAGGGAGGGAGGCTGGGCCGCAGTATCGCTTCACGTTTCATCTGACCTTATTTCTGGTCCCTGAGGACTATGAGGTGATGCAAGGCAGTTATACTCCCCTGTGTGTGTGGATGATGTAAGACAAAGCTACTGTATTCTCTTGCCTTGAAGTCCACATCTACTCTGTTTATATGAAACACACAACAAATGAAAAGGACTTCAGATTATACACGAGACATTTCCTGAAATGTTCTTAATAATGAACGTTTTAAATAAGCTGGAGCCAGACAGCCGTAAGCAGCATGCACATAGTTGATGACACATTTAAGGATGCTGAACTGTCAGTGATACGTTTGTATGGCAACATTTTCTTTTTCTGTGTTTTTAGTGTCAGTTTTTACGTCCCTATCATCAATAATGGATTAATGCCGTGCTGTCTTAGTCACGTTACAGTAACTGGCTTCCTTTTTGTCTAATTTATTCAAATTATATTTATTGGCAATTGTTAAACACACAAGCCATTACTGCTATCAAACTGGTACCACACTCTTGGCTGCAGCTGTGCTTCAGTTGCTATTCTTATCCATACTTGTCCATGCCCTTTGTTTACATTTGTGCCCGTGTGTTCCATCAATATAGTGTCATCTTGTCAGTCCTGGAGCCGACAGTCAGCTATGTTTATGAATTTGGATGTCGGGGGAATAATGCAGACTTCAAGTTTCCAAAGTTTAGGAGTGTTTTTTTTTCCTTTTAGGGTCGAGTAAATAAAAACATCATGCTGAAATGTAATTGGAAATGACTATTTTCAAAATTTCAAGCATCTCTTCAAGAATCGTTCAGTGTTTGTCTTTGTGATTGTATGCATCAATCTTGTAATGTGTGGTGCTGGTCCAACAGGTCAATATCTACGGCATCATCATGTCAGCGTGGATCAAACGTGGAAGTTACAACCATGAATACCACCACAAACAGAGCCAGTATGTGGTTAAAGAATATAGCAGGTACCAAGAGACTCTGTATTATTTATAGTTTTAAGTTACTTAAATTGTCCTAATAATATTACTAATATTAGATGTGTAACAGTAGTAAGGTTTTGTACAACTAAACCTGCAAATGAAGCCATGTAAGCAACAGACGGACTAACCAACATAAAGACTCTGAGGTGGTTAGTAAAAGCTTTATGAAAAGATTTCATACTTGATTAAGGAACTCCTATGAGTAAGGAGGATTTTTCATTGTAATTTTCTTGTTAACTATATGGTGAGTTTCCTAAATTTGATTAGGTTTGATAGTGTAAATGAATAAAAAGGCTGCTACTGTAAAATCTGTCCTTAAATTAGTGATTTTTCATATTATTAGTTACCATTTCTGTTTTCATGTCTGCTTGTGTGTATGTGTGACTCAAAAAAGAGTACGAACAGGTACTCTGGTTGCTTTGTTCATTCTTTACTGAAACTATTTAAAAAGATTTATTATTTCCATTCCCTACTTATACTCAAAATTATATTATTTTAGATAAAACAGCCATTCCAGGTGCATTTATACCACTAAAAACAGAAGAGATGCATGAATATGTTCCCTTTCCTTCCTCATATGTTTACCCAATCTCCTTTAAAGTGCACCACAAAATTTGCATGTTTAGCTATTTTAAGGCAAATCTCTGTGTGACACAAATACTAAGAGTCACTCCCGGTCAAGGTCAAGGATAGACTCATCTCCCTGACTTAAAATGCTGCATTGCTGCTCCTGCCCCAGATGGCAGATCACCGTACCAACTGTTGTTTGTTGCTGCCAGCTTTCAAGATCCCCTTGACTTTAGGGGCTGAAGGGCACTTCTGGTGGCAGTTGTGGAGTTACTTTTTGTCTGAAGGGTTTTGTTTTGTTTTTTTGAACAACAGCAATGAACAACACTGCTATGGAGTATCCATAATGTTATATACAAATAATATTACATCAGACTTTAGCCAGGATCTTATATATTTGGCAAATAAACTGCTAAAAGTGAGAGTTGTGCAATGGCTGTGTGATTAATCAAGATCTAGGCAAGTTTAAAAAAAAAATACACACAAAAAAACTGCAGGTGTCGAGCAGTGAGGTGATAATCTGTAATTTGCCCTCTGTACAGTGTGACTCTTAAGACTCTGACAGCCGTGATCACACTGCCAGAGGGGTCATAGATTCACAGATGAGTGTATGTTGATGGCCTGTTTATAGCTTCCTGTTTAAGGTCATGTTTAGTTGTCTTTCCCCATCCTGCATTATTCCCATAATTATTGCCTGTGTTTCAGGGACATAAACTGGGAAGCATGCATAAAATAAGTTAAGGCTAAAACCTTTCATTCTGTAGTATTATTATAGCACTATATTTATGCTCACATTTCAGGAAGTGCAATGTATGTTTGGTAGGTCAGTACTGATTAATGAGTAGAAACATGCACCATGTCCCACAGTATGGACCAAATACTATGAGGCATTTTTTAAATTACAGCTGGGAAGCCAGTGCTACTTACTGTAAGAGGTTTTTTGGCAGGGATGGTCCACATCTCAAAGTAACTGATATCTTTATTTATTTTATATTAGATGCTCAATTATCAGCTTACAGGGCTCAGGTTTATCATGGTTTTAGGAAACTGACTTATTTTTGTCATTGTCTTTAGTTCTGAGGCGATGGAGGAAAGATATGAGCACAAAACAAAAACCCGCATCCAGGAAGTGGTAAGAATCTTGTAACTGTTTTAATCAAGACTTCTATATTCGTTGTTTAACTGTCCTGTGGATTTTATTAATATTAATGCTTTATAGTACAATGGATTTTAAAATGATCTGTCATATACTGGTCTTATTGTTTGCCTGTCTAGGTAAGAACAAAATTGGATGACAAATATGTGCGTGAGGAGCCCATGATCAGGGGACCAAAGTTCCTGGTCCGACTCAGATCCCACATGGTGTTTGAAAACACTCCAGTCAAAATCTTCTGTACTGTTGAGGGCTTCCCCATGCCTGTTGTAAAATGGTAAGTCTGTCTCTACGTGATTTGTTGACTCTGACTGTCACTGTGGTCTGTATAAAATGAACTTACGTAATTTAAAAAAACAAAACAAAACACCCATGCATCCAGGAGATGTAGCTTCTGACACTGAAAATCCATGATTAAGTTAAAAGTTCCCACTGTCGATATACGACTTCTTATTTGTTAGTTTTCTTTCCATATTTTGCTACATTGTAGTACAAACCAACCACTACATTTTTGACTATTACGCTTAAGTCAGTATGCTAGCAATGGTTACTCCACTGTGTTTGTGACACACACATCATTTTCTATGTATGGGCATGGTTGTTCTTTCATTGCTGTTTCACAGTCACTGGGAGTTCACATGCCAGTTAGGCATCAACAGACCTCTGTGATGGATGCTGAGAATCTTCCTCCTCATCTCAGGAAGGTTTTGAATAATCCCTGTAACACAGTTTATGACCTGTCTAAGGAGGAGTGACTATGCCATGGGCCCAGGGTTTGCCTGGTATGAAATGAGAATGCTCTCCTCATGGGCCTTGTCATAAGTGCTCTCATGTGCATATCTTAGGCTTATTCATGACTTTGCATTCCAGCAGCAGATGGCTATGAATCAACATTGAGGACAGCATATTAAGAAAACAACAAACGTAAAATCACCGAAGTCTTCATTCAATATAGACTGTAGACATTTGGCTAACGCCTTATTCCCCGTAAACCTATTTAAGGGATAGCATTGTCTGCTCTAGTACAGACTGTAATAGCAGATTTCAGAATCAGAATACTTTATTAATCCCTAATAAAATTATGTATGTATGTATTTGACAGTCTTTTAATGCTGCTGCATGTGCAGCATGTATGGCCAGTAACTTGGCTGTCCTCATAGCGATCTTGAGGAAATAGACGATCAGGATTTACAAGTTTCTACTGATTTGCATTATCACCTCACTCGCAGTTGTGCTCATAGTCTGGTCTTTGTGGAGTCAGTCACTCGGCTAGATGAGACAGTCCGCAAGATATTTAACAACACAGTCTAATATAATTAATTACTATCCAACGTGAAAGATCTTTTTAAATTAGTGTTTGGACATAAATGTTGACATTTGCTTCTTGCCGTCTCAAATTGCACCAAAATAAGGCAGGAAGCACAGTTAAGGTCAAAAAATTCTTGTGGGTCAGTTTCTGATTGGATCTTCAGTTCACATCACATGCTGTGGGCATCAAGCTGTGTTTTTTTATGTTTACCGCTGATCTTAATGCTGATGCAGACATGAGAGTTTTGGCTCTCATGAAGTGTCATTCCCAGCTTTTTGTCTGTTGTGGTGAGGCCAAACTACAAGGTAAGAAGATGAAAAGGAAGCCAGTTTTTCAGGGTCACAGGTTTCCATAAAATCCCAAGAATAAACGTAAAAGACCATTTTGTGGTCTTGTGGATACATCATTGCATTCATACCTTTTATTACTCAATGCTTCATGAAGATAGCTATTGTTTTGCTCAATTTTAGGTATAAAGATGGAATGATCCTGGACTTGTCTTCTGGAAGATATCTGGTTGAAGCCAAAGGTGGAATCCACTCCCTGGAGATCCCAAGGTACATTAAGTTCAATAAAGGTTAGAGTTTTTGAACATATTTTTATTTATCTGCCACCAATTTACTAATAGCAGTCATCTCATGGGATTTTATATTGTAAGGTAAAGACCCCAAAAGAGAAGAAAATCCAATAATACAGCAGTCCAGCACAATAATGGGAAAAACGTTTCCCACTATGGTGCATCTTTCTCACAAAGGACTTTTCCTTTGACTTGGAACTTTAAGAATGGGTCACAATCTAAAACTCCCGTCTCTTTCTGTCCATGTCTGTACATCTTTCTCCCTCTCCTTGATGTTACTTTTTTAAATCTACATTTTATAAGACATCCCAACTTTTTTGGAAATGGGTTGTAGTTTGCTTGTACTTGTCTGCTTCTATGTTTTCTTAAGATGAAGTGCACTGAGTTACAAGGCCACTGGTCTCACTGCCCAAATATCGGGATTAAGAATATGTAGCGAGCCATTGGAAATCTCCTCCTCCTTAATTCTTTCAAGCCCCATGCACAAAATTAGATCAGAGATGTTTACCGTCTGTCACCTGAAGGTGTGGGCGGGCTGTGTAGTTAAAGTCAGGGGACTGGAGCTTATCCTACTCTCCCTCCAGTCTGTGGAAGCTCAGCTGTTCAAGTGCTGACCTCAGTGGTACGTGATACTCTGGGAATCTTTCAGGCCACCGCTGTTTCCTTACTTACACACTGTACAGCCAGCAGTTAATACTCCTTGGAGAAAAAACACCCATGAAGCACATCATACTCTTGAGTACTGCATTCTTACCATGACTTATGACTTTTTAAAATAGCTAAATAATTAAAATAACAGTTACCGCAAAACTTTAGCATGGCATTAAGCAGGGTTAGAAATAGACAGCAAGAAGTTATGTTATGTATAGACACCTCACGAGTCCTACACCTATACACTGTATAGCTTAAGTTATTTGCGACTTAATGAGAGTACATTCGCTGTTCTCCCCCACATTACTTCTGCAATTTATGCTAATAACATCCTCTTTCATGACTATATCAGTTTATTAATTTGTCAAGGGGTCAAAGTCTCATGTCACATGCTAAAGGTGTGACATACGATTGTGGAAAAGTGAGCGATATGAGCAGAAACAAAAAGACCACTTAAGTTTTGCAACTTGCCAGAATGGCCAAAGATCTGTAGCTACACTGCTCTAAAGAAAACAAATCCAGTAACCTCTATGTAAATATAACGTAGAGAAAGCTTAGCAGACACAGTGTTTGTGATGAACTGCATTGCAGCTCTAACATATTGGCAGATTATAAAATCCGCCCACACAGAAGATACAATTAACCCCCTGCCCTGTGGCCTTGTTTCCAACTCAAAGGACTATGCACTGAGTATTCTGCAAGCATTACTTTGTTTGTCAGGTGAGATTTGGCACATGGTGTTTCCTAAAAGGAAAGCTGTGGGTCTAAACCAAAACATTCTCTGAATAAGTAAACCAAGCATTGTTAATTGAAGTGTGAATGGGGCTTTACACAATCTGTGCTCTGTCTTCTCCACTGCTGATTATCCCTGGCAACATGAAGCATTCATGTGGGGAATAATTGCTCATTTGGTGAAGTGGATTCATATATGCTGTTGAAGAAAATGCACAGTGGCAATGTGTCAGTAGAGAGCAGTTAGTCCTGTCAGGGCAGATCTTCTAATATGTAGCTCACCTGCTATTTAGGCAGTTTCGGTAATTTCACAGATGACTGTAAAATCCATAAGATTGCCATGAAGTCCCAGAATTTAGCTAAGTAGCCTATGCTAAGTATGACACAGTGCTCAATCACCATTTCGTTTATGCTCTAATCTGTTGCAATCTGTTGGGAAATCTTTTGATCAAAATGCAACCATTTTATGTTTATTCTGTGTTCCAGATGCTCAACTGATGATACAGCTCAGTACACTGCTATGGCTGTAAACCTCCATGGACAAGCCTCCAGTCAGGCCTCCATTATTGTGAAGAGTAAGCCATTCAATCTGATAACCAGAGGCTTTAAGTGTAAAGCAATGGACGTGCAACAGGGTTGCACACGCTGACTCTCATACACACACAAGCCAACCCCCAAACTCTAGACCAGATGCAAGAACGTAAACATTTGTTTATAGTTTAGTGTTGCTAACTGACTTAGCCAAAGTACCAAAACACCCCAAGTCTGCCACCCATTCGCACGATCTACCACTCTTTTGCTACGATCCATAGCTTGCCTCAATCGACTCAATAAAGACTTTGTGAAACCAGTGCTATACTTGTGACACTGAGAGGTTAACTTACATCAGGGACTGTACACTTGACAAGGTGTACACAAACTCTTGATATGGAGCAGGCAACATGCCCAGACCAATCAGAAGAAACCACAGTGATGTGTGAGCAAAAGCGCCGCTTGTACTCCATAAATCAAATTCCAGTAATTATTTAATTGATGCTGCCTCACGATCATATGCTATGCCTCCAAGCAGAGAATATCCAACTTCCTTTGGTAATGATATTTCAAGTTGGGTTGATAACACTTTTGTGATTATTGTGGCAAATAACGATGAGACTGATTGCTGTAAGCAAAAAGGGAACTCTGTGACAGGAACTAGGTCTAACTAGGAAACCATGGACGTGGTTTTACAGTAGCAACCTATTAAGCACAATAATCGAAATACAATCACACCCCAAATCATAACCCACTATTCTCTAAATAGGAAGGCTAATTCACTATGGGACCATATGTTACAAAATCAACCCTAATTGTGCAAAACAGGATTTAAAACTAGCAAATTAAATCATAACTTAAACTTGGGTTAACATTTGTGTCACTTCCCCAATAAACTTCCATACAATCAGACCCCCCACCCAACACAGACACACACACACAGACCACAGGATTCTCCTTTTGCTGACTTTGGCTTCACTTCTGAGACTAGAGGCTACTTCACAAAGTGTCTATACCTACAGCTGAGTGTTTACTATGAGGAGTTACTTGTGCAATTAGCAACATTTCAACAAATTTCATGTAGGGTTATTTTACAATAAATGTTATTCATAAAAAAAGTAATCATATTTAGATGAATCATACAAATCTGTAACTGCACATCTGTATTATTTCAGCTGGCTGTTGCTGCCAATCACACACAACGTTTACTGTTTTTTGTTGTTTTTTTGTGCAGGATTCAAGCAGGAGGAAGAGTCCTGTTCATATGCATGGCTGCCTTATGAAGGTAGGCAAAGTAATTACCTCCAGAGAACATCAGCACTAGATTTTAAAATACTCATAAATTACAACTGTAATACAATTCTATCATTTAATATGAGTTAACATAATATTCCTCTATTCTCCTTTCAAAAGAGCGTGTGAAGCAACATGCTGTTACCACCAGTTCTACTATCTCTTTCATGTTATCTCTCTTCTTTTCCCCAGCTTCTATGCTACCAAAGATCCATTACACTAAAATCCACATTACTTTTTTGGAGATGTTTGGACCAGTGTTCGCTACCGAGGGTGAATCTGCCACCCTTTCTGCTACCATGACCCTGGAGCCCAACCTGGCAAACCTACAGCCTGAGGCACAGTGGTACAGAGATGGTAATTGATATAAAATAGCACTTTATGATACAGTAATTACCCTATAATTGCTAGTAATATATGCTAAATGCCACAGTGACTGCCTGACCCAATCTAGCCGACATGCAGCCAGAGGCACAGCAGTGGAAAAATTAGAAAATGTTATGGACACTATTTTTATTGCCTATTAATTATACCAAAAGCAGTTAAGTAGACTCAAGTAATATCACCCCAAATTTGTGAGCCGTTTCATTTGCTACGTGTGTGCCTGAGGTATAAAAGAAAATTCTAGCTTATTTTTGTTGTATGCAGAAAGGCTTTATTTACTCAAACTTGATGTTTCATTATTTTAGCATTTTATAGTTGAGGTTCATAAGAGTTATGCGGTGAAGCTGAGTCAATGAGCCTGTCTCATTTTTCCTAGACACTCGTCTGTTTGACTCTAAATGGGTGAAGATTGAAACTGGTAGAGGATTCAGCAAACTGACTCTTCCAAATCTCTACAAAGATGACGAGGGTCTCTATACCCTGCGCATGGTCACTAAAGGAGGCACCGCAGCACACAGCGCCTTTGTCTCAGTCGCAGGTAAGATGAGCCAAGCGTTGGACTGGATAAGATTAACGTATTTCTAAATCCAGTTTGGAAACTGGAGCTTAGATTTTATGAAACTGATACGGTTTTGCTGTCAACATAATACTTATTCTACTAACTGCTAATGCTAATTATTATTGCTTCTTATTTCTTATGAATAATGTGATTATTAAAACAATGCACGTCATCACTTCCTGTCTAGATGGTCCTCCTCCAGTCCCTGCTGCACCTGGTGCTCCTATGGACATCAAGATCCATGATGCCAACAGAGACTATGTCATTGTGTCATGGAAGCCTCCTAATACAACTACAGAGGGTCCAATCCTGGGATACTTTGTCGACAAGTAAGAGTTACTGGTATAAACGCCATAAACAGATAAACTGGCCAGCATAAAGACAAACTAATTACTTTAAGTAATCCTATTGAGCTTACTTGAGTATCAAATTACTGTTTTTTTGTCTCAAGGAAGAGGGGCAGTCCATGTTCTCTTTATTGCACATAAAATACACAGCTGCTTTTGTTTATTTCTTCTGTCGCTCATATTTTAACCTAAACAGAGCAGGAATGGGCATGCTCTGCTACCTATTGGCTGCTTTTCATTCTTTTTCAATCTGCATTTTTTTTGCTTAGGAAGCTCTTTTCCTGCTTATGTCTTTTTTTTTTGTCTAGCATCATAATGAACAGATAATTTCAGCACAAGTGCTTTCAGTGAGGCTCCAACAGGTACACTGTTCTGATCTCATATACCAATCAGCATTTTTTAATAATATGGTAGCATACACAAAACATAAAACATCCATTATAAACTTGTATACATATTACTCTTTGCAATAGTTACATGTTTATAATGACTCCATGCCATACCAGTATTTTGTCAGATCTTTCTATTTGCATTCATTTCATTAACTCTGCGACATTCTCATCTTTTCTCTTCTTAGATGTGAGGTTGGAACTGAAAACTGGACCCAATGTAACGATCACCCCATAAAGATCTGTAAATATCCGGTGTCTGGGCTGTTTGAAGGGCACTCCTTCTACTTCAGAGTCAGAGCTGTTAACTCGCATGGAATCAGCAAACCTTCTCGTATGTCTGATCCCATCACTGCAATGGACCCCACTGAGTTTGAGAGGCTTCACGGTGGGTTTAACTACACTAATACAGAGAAATGTCTAAGCTCACCTTAAAAATACAGTGTTTTGAAGTTTTGCCATGTGTCATGTTGTCATTATTGTAGTCACTGTTGTTTGAAATTATAACCGTCTTCTTGTTTCTTGCTAAACAGTTATTCATGTAGAATTACAATCAGCCCTGATTTAAAGCACATAATAAAAAACACATTATGTAACTAAATTATGTCATATTGTACTTATCTCATGCTTTTATTTGGGGGCAGGTTAGACTTGTAAAATACACACTAATCAGTCTATTTTATAGCATTAGATACAGTACATGTTCAGCTCCTATATAAACAACAAATTTGTATTTAAAATGATCTCAAAAAAAGGTCAGTATCAATCACAAACACATGATGATCATCTCATTATCTTCCTGTAGCCAAAAGGCTTGGAGGAAGACTGGATATCGTGTCTTACCATGACGAAGTTGAAGGTGGGTTTGAATTGAAGTTGATACATACATTCTGATGCTCTGTTTAAACTTCAGCAGGTTGTCTTGACCATGTCTCCAAGTTGAAATGCAATGAGTTGCTGACTGGTGATTGGCTGATTAGATATTTGTGTTAAGCAATTGAACAGATGTACGCAAGGAAGCGACTGGTTCATGTATTTGTTACGCCACATACAATATGTATTATATTTTTAACGTTTTCAGTCTTGTTTCTTTGTAGCTGAAGGAAAGCCTCCAGGTGTTCCATCAGGAATTAATGCCTCAGAAACAGACAGGACCTATGTTGTTTTGAGCTGGAAAGCCCCAGCGTACACCAGCAGCGCTCCCATGTGGTACTACATAGAAAAGGTAACAAACAATGTCATATTCTAATTCACTGACTTCCCCCTCAACAGTTGTTTATAGTTTGACGAAGCAGTAACAGCAGTTTTTTTCTCCTTTATATTATGCAGCTGCATTAACTTGTGTGCCTAAACTATTTTTACAGGTCTTCTGTATAACACATATAGAGACAAGCCTTGAAAAAATAAAATACATTTTTAAAATGTAAACAAACTTGCTTCCATGTCTCCGTCTCTCCACAGTGCATGGCAGACAGTGGCGCATGGCAGCGCGTTAACACCCAGGTCCCTATTCGATCTCCTCGTTATGCTGTCTTTGACCTGGCAGAGGGAAAACAATATAAGTTCAGAGTTTTGTCTGCCAACATTTATGGGACCAGTGCGCCATCAGAGCCAACTGGACCTATTCAGACTCAGGAACTCAAAGGTTTGCCTCCATTTTTCCTTTCCTGTTACACAGCAGTAGTGTTTATTATTACCAATTACCAGTTGCAACACCTTTAATTGTATTTCTGTGTTACTTCACAACAAAATGTGGTGTGGGTGATCTTCTGAACTGCTTACTACAAAAAGTTTTCAATATGTCAGCTGAGAGATTTGTTTCAAATGTTTCAAACATGAAGCTGACATAAAAATTATGGTCAGGTGTAAGAGGGTTGTGGTATAGATACTGAGTAGCAGCCACTTGAAAACCAGAAGAACCTAATATAAAGTATCCTTAATTGTAATTACAGTATTATGTAGCTATTTTGTTATTTATTTTTTAATCAATTGCAGGCGTACCATCCGCTCCTGGTCAGGTGATTGCGACAAGGGAAACAGACACCTCTGTCCTCATCCAATGGGCTCCTCCAAAGGAACCTAATAATTTGATTGGTTATTACATTGACCAGTGTGTGCAAGGATCCAAGAACTGGACCTCAGCCAATCACAAACCTCACAAGAACACCAAGTATGTTTCTAGCGACACACAAACACACGGTTGGGCTCAAAAATTGATTTTTTTTCTCTGGCTGCTTATTACACAATGGGCTTTGTGTCACGTTTGTGTCTCTTCAGGTTTGTGGTTAGTGGTTTGACCACAGGAGAAACCTACATGTTCCGCGTCCAGGCTATCAATGAGCTGGGTCTCAGTGATGAATCCCAGGAGTCAGCACCTTTGACTGTCAAGGCTGCCCTTAGTCAGTAATGCCAAATATTTGCTCACTACTGCAGATGTTAACCATGATAACTGCCCCAAACCTTTTCATTTTAAAGAATTAAAACTCAATACTGTTCTTATAGCCACCCCATCTGCTCCTTATGACATTGCACTGCTGTACTGCGACGGCCATTCAATGATCCTGAACTGGAAGAAGCCTCTTCGCTCTGGAGGAGCAAAGATCAAAGAGTATTATGTGGACAAAAGACGTAGCGGAACAACCATGTGGAGGGAGGTTCATATCCCACCAATCACAGAGAGAGTTTATAAGGTATTTGGACTCTTTTTATAACATTCAAACATCAAAACAAACAGAAGAGGGCCACAATTTTGCATACATACTTGCATACTCTTCTTATTATATATCACACAAAAGTTAAGATACATATTATTTTATTTGGGATGGTCTGATTATTTTGTGCAAAACTGGCCTGTTCATCTCTGAAAGTGGCATGTCCATTTTGTTTAAATTGATAATGATAACTAGGATTTTAGTTAACCATGTAACATTTTATTAAAAGGTGGAGAACTTGACAGAGGGAGCAGTCTATCAGTTCCAGGTTTATGGAGCCAACCTGGCTGGTCTTGGACCAGCGTCCAAACATTCAGAAGACCTTACATGTGATGCCTGGACAATGCCAGAACCTGGTTAGTAAATTTCACTTTTTAGTGACTGACTTTAAACTCTGAGTCAAAAGTGAAGCTTTTACACTTCTAGAAAGATAAATATGGAATTGTTGTTCTTCTCCTCTCATCATCTGGCTCATATAGGCCCAGCCTATGACCTGACCTTTTGTGAAGTGAGAGATAATTCATTGGTGGTTGAGTGGCAAAAGCCTGTCTACACTGGTTCTGAACCAATCACAGGCTACCACGTTGAGTATGCCAAGAAGGGTACTGCTAACTGGATCACAGCCAATGAAAAAGCTGCCAGTCACCGCTTCCTAAAGGTGAGGGTATCACTGTTCCAATCTATGAATCATAGAGGTTACCCTCCACTGCTCATCAGAGATTTTACTCAAGCACGCAAGACAAAAGAAATTGGAATAACGCTTTTAATTTACAATATAACATATAATAATAATAATAATGGATTGGATTTATATAGCGCTTTTCAAGGCACCCAAAGCGCTTTACAATGCCACTATTCATTCACTCTCACATTCACACACTGGTGGAGGCAGCTACGGTTGTAGCCACAGCTGCCCTGGGGCAGACTGACAGAAGCGAGGCTGCCATATCGCGCCATATAGGTTAGACTAAATGTTGGCACTGCTGAAACAAGTGTAAAATGCAGTGCATGATGTTTATTATGTAACAGTGTGTTTCTTCATCTTTAATGAACTTTTTTCCCCCAAAACATCAATTTTCATCCACTTTTTCCAGCACTTCATTTACCACTACCAAAACTGCAGCAGTGTAGGTACAAAAAACTGTGTGACACTGACATCTAGTGGATGAACCAAGTAATTACTTGGTGAAATGGTACAAAAAGAAAATCTGTTAAAGGTGAATCACTTATGTGTGATAATGGAAAGTCAGTAAAGTAAAATAAGACAAGAATAATTATAATAATACCAAGACCATTTAGTGATCTAATAAAAATATGCTTTGAAACAATACGGATTACTCATGCATTATTAATATTTAGGGTAAGTTGCCTAAAAGAACAAGGGGAATTATAATAATAGATCCAGCTGCGGCTGGGCTAAAGGATGATATATTTTACATTCATTCACAGCACCAAGTGATCAACAAAATAAATAGTATTGTTAGATTCAGAATAGAATATGCTGTTATTATGTCATAATTTATTTACCTGTCAATTTTGCACAGGTTGAAAGTTACCACACCCATTTACAGACGTTCACACCTCCACTCCCCCTAGCAACAGATTGTCTGTTTGTGTCCTAGGTAACAGGTCTGGAGGTGGGCACTACCTATGTGTTCAGAGTGCGTGCAGTCAATGCTGCTGGAGTGGGTATGGCCTCAATGGCCTCTGACCCTGTGACTGCCAAGGCCGTGGCAGGTAACATTTAACAGCAGACAGAAACTGAATACCTTACTATTAGAATATTAGGGTATTAGAATTCATAAATATGTGTCTCCAAGTTCCTCTTTGTAAAGCATACAAAGTGCTATGGTTTTGCTTTGAGTGAGTGTTGCACTATTGTTGACAGTGGTGAAAGCAAGAGTTTAAGAGCGAGTGGACACATGTGATATCAATCCATCAAATATCAAAGCTCACATTAATAGCTGTTTAGGCTTTCTGGGCATTAACTGGAGACAAAAATGAGTCTAAAAACTATGTTTATCTGTGTATTGAAGGTTCCCAGGAGGTGTCCTGTGTGGTGGATGAGAAGTCAGGTGACATTGTTCTGTCATTCGAGTCCTGCCAGATAAACGAAGGCTCCAAGTTCATCTGGAAGAAAGATTATAAAGAAATCACAGATTTCTCTAAAGGGGTAGTGATTAAATCCGAGGGCATCCAGTAAGACCACAGTCACACACATATATAACATGCATATGGCATCAAACATTTGCATTCAATTTCAGCTTGAACAATCTCTCTAACTGTGTGTGTCTGTGTTTCTCTTCCGCCCTCCACTGCAGCTCTAAGCTGATCTTCAAGAACCCAGATAAGGAGGACTTTGGGACGTATTCTGTTTCTGTCACAAACACAGAGGGAGTGTCATCCAGCTACACAATCTCTAATGAAGGTAGGTTCAATTCATTGCTAAGTAAGGATGGCTCTGATGCTTAGGCACCCAGTCAACTGTCATGCAAAATTTGAAAATCTGTAAAAGAATCTGCAACTTAGACTTAATGAAATCTCTCATGTTTATGTTTATTTGTATTCTATACTCATGGCTCATTTGCCCTTGTTGACTTATGGTAATTTGCGATGTTGCCTTTATTATCTTAATCATCTCATCGCATTAGTTTGCATTCCATATCCGTTTCCTACCTCTGTTAAACTATTGCATGCAAATACCACTCATGCCTTGATCGTGAAAATTTGAACAGCTGTAGAGCAACACCCTAATAACTACATCAAAAGCGCAGACTTGAGCCAAAATCAAAAGAAAACTGTATCGGAGAACTAAGGCAGTGTGTAGAATGCAATAAAAGATGAAAGCAGTGAGAGCATACTTAAAAACAATCAGCCTGGCATGTAGGCAACAAACAATTTCATTACACATCTGATGATACTAGCAGAGCGCATTATTTCTCCAAGCTTGGGGCACTGAACATGTTTTACCACCAGATCTTCGTTGCAAAAGGATTTCTGTCAGAAAGCTTCACAACGCTTTTCCTTCTATTGCACCAGTTTGCTACGAGGCTATAATACGTGGCTTCCACTGATTGCTTCCCATTCGGCCTACAGTTATTCCACTGTAACTTGCAATAATTTCTGAACTTCTAGCACGCAAGGATTCATTCATTTCAGTTATATCACAGGTACTTGGTGAGGCTCCAATAAAACAACAACTCATAATACAGGCTGTGTTTCAGGGTAAGCATTCAGGGCCAGTTATGAGTCACAATGTAATTTTGTTCTTTCAGCTTTAAGCTTCAGTTTTAATGTTTTTGTTCCTTGATTTTCCTCTCCCTGACTTATCTGGTACCTCATCGAAGCTAATGGTAAAATTAGACCAATGTATAAAATGTCACATGTTTGATAACTGCATGTCTGTGTCTATAAAATAATGTGTCTGTGCCTTATAGAGTTGGTAAAGATGCTGGCGCTCAGTTATGATATCAGACACCCAGGTAGGTACCTTTGGCTGACTCTTTCAATCTCTCTGAGTTTCTCTCTCTTTGTCCTTTTTAATCTCTTCTTTAAAACTTTCTCCTCTGAGTCCTAATCTGTCTTACCTGCTCACTTCATTTCTCGTTCTCCCTCTTTTATGCTTTTATTTTTCTTTCTTCTTCTGCCTTTGAAGATTTCTGATTTCTTTATTTTTTTAGGGGCAGATTTCTCTTTTTATTTGATCCAAAAAAAAAAAAAAAAAAAAAGTCTTACCTGCTTTTGCATCACATTGCCTAAGCTCTTCTCCTTCTCCTGTCCTCTCCTCCTTCGTCTCCTCATTAAACAAGGACAATAATGTTTTGAAACCCCTTACCCTTCCTCCCTCTTGTCCTCTAGTCATCCCGCTGAAGTCTGAGTTGGCCTATAAGATTCTGGAGAGAGGCCGAATGAGGTTCTGGCTGCAGGCTGAGGAGATTTCTTCCAATGTCACCTACAAATTCTTTGCAAACAACAAGGAACTGTCTGGAGCTGATGTAAGATACATCTTAGTTTACCCGCAGATTGTAGTCAGTTCCTACCTATGCCACTCTCCCTATGCAGTACTTGAAATTCATGGGTGTAGAAAGTCATGCAAATGGAAAATGAAGTCCGGAAAATGATATATCAGTTAGCCAGGTAGTCTTCTTTCAGCTGTAATTTTTGCGAGGCTCAAACTGAAAGGTCCCAAAGTATGGGCTAAACCATTTAAGTGAGCCTTGCAAATAAAAACAGAAGAGATGAATGATTTATATTCTAGCTTCAAGGTGAACAACCTACTTTTCTATCAAGACAATAGTTCAGTCAGCTGTTTTTAACTACACAAAAGTTATGATAGTCACAAAGTCTGTCGTCAAGTAGGCTTTTTAAAATTACAACTCTATTTTTCTGCAGCCCAACAAGATGGCTCATGACGTCGCTACAGGGATCATTGAGTTCATCATGGATCATTTCACTGAGGAGAATGAGGGGACATATACCTGCCAGATCACAGATGGAGGAGGAAAGGCACAGAGCTCACTGGTTCTGATTGGAAATGGTAAGAGGGGCCAAGGTTTACTGTTGTCCTACGATCAGCCTTTCAAATGTGGTTCCAACCCAGTCGGACCCCACAAAACCTGCAGTATCCGACTACATTCAACAAAAAAAAGAACAATACCCTCTGGACTGTATTTTTTTTTATTTTTTTTCAAGTGGATGTGTGCAGAAAGAACTTATCACAGCCTCTTATTTTTCAGCGTACTAATTAGGGGGTATGCTGTCAAGCCTAAGCCAGGAGAAACACAGACATGTAGCAGAGAGTGTATAGAATGGGCTTTTTTGTATGACAGTAGACTTAGCATCTGCTGCATTAGAGATCCCATTATGGAAATGTATTAAGCCCGTTAGTGTAGAGAAGGGTTTGAACTTCATGTCTATAGGACTCCCTAAGACTCAACTAAAGATGCTTGATTTCATAAATTATGATTCTGCTCTCATATGGGGGACCACTAAAAAAAAAAAATCTATAGCAACACTTTGATCTTTTAATTATTCTCCGTTTATGTGTATCTGTATGTGCACATAGCTTTCAAGGCAGCACTGGCTGAGGCTGATTTCCAGAGGAGAGAGTACATCAGAGTCAAAGAGGGTAAGAAATACAAAACATCATCCAATTTTAAGCTTGTAAGAGCTTTGTTCTTAATTTAGCCTGAGACCAGCACAACACTATGTTACCCAGGAGATAACTAATGAGTGAGCATACAGGAGAGAAGTTCACTATCTTTACATAAACTCTCGAGCTGCAACCTTAAAACCACACATCAGTTAATACAGCTTATAACAAGGTTCCTCAAGTGTTTTGTAAAAGCTTATGTCCATTTTCAAGGCTTCCTCTCATGTTTCTTTTCACTACAGGCCCCCACTTTAGTGAGTTTCTATCGCTTCAGATTGGGGATGACTGCTCTGTCACTTTGGTCTGCAAGGTAAACACAGTGGTACTCGATATTTATTGAATATTTACAGTCTGACAAATGGGAGGCTCACTTACTGAGCAGATATTCTATGGAGACTAAGTGTGGATGCCACAGTGCTACGTAATGATAAGGTCCAGACAGATAATAACTCGAATTGTCACGGTTTTTCCTGCCCTTGTTAGAATGAAGTATATTATCAAGAACATTTTAAAATTAAAGTGGCCGTTTATATGCTCGGGGACAGTTAAGTTGACATCAGCATATCTTTGATTTATGCAGAGATATAGTAAATATATGCATTCATTATTTGACTGTTGAGTATCGAAACAGAGCAAGCTTAAACATCAACCAGTTTTCAGAAAAATGCTCTACTTCTAATATGGGATCATTTAGGGTATAATATGTTGCAGAAAAATATAAACAGCCTCAAGTTTTTTTGGTTGAAAGACAGGATTTACGTTTTAATCCATCAAGTGGGTGAGAATTACTGCAAAAAGTCGATGAGGTACAGTTATGTGCTAACATTTGGGAACCTCTGGTTGACTTGTTGACTTTTGTAGGCAAGAATAAGTGTACTTGTCCTGCAGCAAACAGGCATTTTAAATAACCCCTTCTTCAAATGCTAATGCACTCTTACCATATAGTTCATTAACTAAACAGCCAAGCATTAAACTGTGTTTTACCATTTTCTCCGATTAGTATTATTTTTATATTCAGAAAACAAAAGCACCAATGCATTAACATTTAAGAGATTTGTTTTTCACTTTAATCCATTTGCTGCAGGCATTTGCTTCCTTTGTCTTTCAAAAGCCTCGTCGACATCTCTTGATCTTCCTAAACTACCACATAAACAAGACTTTATATACAGCACATCACTGGTCATCTGGATTTGCATTGTTCGATGAATTGTATAAAATATAAAGTGTGTGTGTGACAATAAAACTTCACTTCCTGTTTTTCAAAAATAATAATATGCAATTTTAATTGATTTTAACAGGTTGCTAACTTGAAGAAGGAATCAGTGTTTCACTGGTTTAGAGAAGACACGGAGATCATCCCGGATGTAAAACCTGACCTGGGATCAGGAGTCTGTAAACTGCCAATTAAAGAGGTAAGAGCACACTGTGGCACTAAAGACTATGTTTTTGTTTTTTCCCAACGCTGTCCTCATGGTGTGTTTAAAATTGACAAATCTGCATTCCCTATGTTGCACTGTTTCTTCTCCAGTTTTCACTGAAGACAGCAGGAATTTACAAAGCCACCATCAGTGATGACAGAGGAAAAGATATGAGCCAAATAAACATTTCTGGAAAAGGTAAACATGTTCTCTATTTTTGCAGTTCATCTTACCGCTTAATAAAAATGACAAGTTCACTGTCTGGATAGTTAGCTTGATGTCTTACTGAGCAAGTATAATTGTTTAACTACAGTATATTATTCTTACAAAAAGAATAAATAAAATGCTTGACATGGGGAAAAAATGTTATAAACTGTTTATTTTTTTCACTGATTTTTCCTCAAAAGCAGCAGGATACAAAGTAGATATATTACCATACTGAAAAACAATTGTTCCTATTTTTTCTAAACAAAACCACAACACAAGAAAAAAGGAAATAATAAAAAAGCCTCGGTCTACAAATTACATCTTGAATGATTCATAAATTATGATTGGTGCCAAAACTGTTAAAATTAGTCAAAAACATTTTTTGTCAATTCCAAAAGGCAGCTCCCCTCCAAAAATATCTCGTCTCCCTTTTTTATTCTACGTGTCACTTGTTTGAATGTAACTATTTTGCATGCAGTTTGATCTGCTATCCAAAATAGCTCAGATTGCTTGATTTCCAGTGCGTTAATATTGTTTTACATCCTGATGTCATAGCCAGTGGGACCCATAACCTCTTCATTTCACTTAGTCTGATATTATCTGGTAACAGACCCAGAACACTTAAAACTGTGAGTAAAACAACTGATTCAATAGGTATAATAGCTTCCCAGAATAACACTTCATTTAAAAAACAAAAAAGAACAAAAAACAAAACCCCACTTTCTCAAATTTCTCACAGATGTTGATGTGCCTAAGTTTAATATGTTTGATATGTGAAGATGTTTATATTTGAATTAACTGAGACTGAGCTTCACATGAACAAGTATGCCAAGAAACAATCTGCTGAAAGTGTACCTCACAAAACAAATGCAGGTATTTACACTGTTTCACTATGTTGGGTTGGGAAACCATAGAGTAACAGATTCCCATGTTTTCATTAAACCTTCCTTACTGAGCTCTGAATGCAGCCACCAGAGAGCAGCATCATGCCTTTCCATCCTCTTGGCTCCGTCTCTGACCCCGTGTTCCTCTGCCTTTCTTCTAGTCTTTGACGATGCCATAAACAAGCTCAGCCAACTGGCTGGTAAGTCGCTGCATTCTGCACACAGACACACACACCAATAATCTCATAAAGAGACATCCATGTTAAAAACGGTACGACACACCACCAGCACCACCCTCTACCCACTGTAGGCATCCAGTTCAAATTATCTAAATTTAACATGGCACCATCAAACCCCAGTGATGAGAGATTTGGTAGATCCGTCATCAGGCTGATATGGGTCTTGTTTTAAAAACCCTCTGCTACATACACACACACACTTATCAGCGTGTGGCAGAAGTTGTCATGCTGGAAGCATTTGGCCATCATGCCATCATGTGGTGAAATCACTTTAAAATTCCACTGCGCTGTCACAGTGACAGTGTGGAGGAGCATCTTACTCCTATTTTAAGAGACAGTCACTTGACAGCTCTGCAGCAACTGTTACAGCAGTGGCTGCAGAGGAGAAGAGGGTTCATTACTGTGATAATGGGAAACCATGGTGATGTGACCAGGTGGATGACACACTTGCCCACTTGTAATGTGCAGTGAGGAAAATCCGACACAGACATTGTGGAGTATAAAATGCCCTTTTAGGTATAACGGCTTAAAAAAAAAAAGTTAATAAAACCTGTCATGGTTGAAGTGCTTTACTGAGTGCCAGGATATAAACAATCTGCTCTTTGCTTCATTAGCAGAATTTTCCTCTCCAAGCTGGACAAAAGGGAATTTCAAAATAGATCCTACAAATGGCTGAAAATGGAAGTTTGTTTTTATTCAATTAATTCATCTCTGCATGCAGTAGCTTTCACAGCATAGTGAGGTCACAGAGTCCAGCAGCTGCAGGAAAACATGTATTTTACTTTGATTTCAAACGTGGTCCTCACAACCTCCATCGCCTCTATTACCTCCTCCAGGAGCCAGTGCAGCAGAGCTTGTGATAAACTGCACAGCAACAGGCATTCAGCTGCAGTGTCACATGAAGTATTACACCTCAGAGATGAACATCACCTGGTATCATGGGTAAGGAATTAGATTAAACACAGAATTAACACCGCCTCACAAATACAAACATAATACCAAATAGTTGGAGTACGAAGATGAAGATAAGGAACGTAGGAAGAAAATACGCATAACTCCAGTATTTGTAGTCCTGGTAGTTGTTTTACTAGAGTATTCTTTTAAGTCCACCTATAAACATGCTGACCACAAACGCATTATTCTGGTTTTCCCTCAAGTTAAACTGCCGCGAGTGGGAAAAACAATAAGCCGCATAATAAAACTTCTGATGGGCTATTGGCAAGTGGTTTCATTATCCCTGTTATTGCAGTAAAATTGCCCCGTTTTGTGACAGAAATCACACAGCTATTATTTTCTATAGAGAAGGAAGGCTTTTCTGCACTTAAAAGCACTCCAGTTCACTCCAGAGATTATAAAATGTTAAAAAATGGGTTCATGAAAGAAAAAGTGGACAGAACAATGAAGTAAAACTGAATAAAAATTATGAAGCTTTTATTTTAAAACATCTCACTGTCTTTTCTGTGGGTTTGTGTAAGAGCAAGAGGTCGGCATGACATTAGCGAGGCATGTAAATATGATTTTCATTTACCTCACTCGCTCAAAAAGAAACCCCCACCACACAAACACACACACTAACCTCTCTTTTCTTCTCCTCAGTGAGACTAAACTCTCCCACAGTGACAAGATTGTGATTGGTGGAACCCCGGCTATGGCAACAATGGAGGTATTATCATCTTTTATACAAAGCTGAACAGTATATGCTTCGGAGGAATCTCACACATCAGTAGCTTTATGACAGTAAAGCACCTCAGACATTGGTGCTGCTGCTCGTCTGTGTTGCTTGTAAAAGTCCTCAAAGTGTCTTTGCAGAGACGAGGAAACTTTGAGATAAATTAAAGGGATAATCACAAGGGAAAGCTAATGAATAAAAATGGTTTAAAATTCATTAAAGTTGATTAAGTAGCGTGTCTTCCGATCGTTTTGTCAGAAAGCTTTATAATTGTAATTAGCCTACCTGTTAAATTAATCTCATTTTAAATCATAGCTCAAAACACACAAAGCAGAAATAAATACCACGACACTGAGTTGATGCCTCTGCCGTCATGTGGCTGATCATTTTTTTGCTGATTGATTCACAGGTAGTTGAACCAGTGGAGAAGGACAAGGGCAAGTACTCCATCGTGATCACTGACCCTGAAAACTCACATAAACGCACACTGGACCTCAGCGGTGATGGTCAGTACTTTCAGTACTTTTCCTCTCTTATTTCCTTCCCTCCAGAGTCAATTCCTGTTTTTATCGATAACTCTGTAAAAAGAGGGTAGAAAATAACACAGTCACTTGTTTTTATGGCTGTCTTTCAGCGTGTAGTCTCTCTGGTTATACTTCAGCTAGTCTTTGAGTATGAAAGTCTCCAGTTTCATACTGCTGCTTGTGAGTTACATACATTTGAGTGTGGATCGGATTACATACACAACAATGCAAAAGTCTTGAGCTACTCTTTATTTCCCTAATCGTTTGAAAGACAGAAAGCTTTGAAAAGTTTTTCTTTGGACATTAGCTGCTTTTCACTCATTTTCTGGCTAATTATAGAGGAATGTTTTTTTTGGTTTAAACCACCCAACACTGACCTATGTATCATTCAAGCATAAAAATGGCCACCAACTCAACGGTTGAAGCAGTGTTGTGTCTACACATAACAGAAAAATTAGCAAAGAACCATTTTTAAATTGTACCTTTAATAATTACTGCGGCTCAAAACTTTTGCACAGCACTGTATGGAAAAAAAAATCTCCATTAAAACTTCTCAAATTAACTTTTTTGATTTATGACACATTTATGAGTGTTATAACTGAAAGGTGCATTCCTGTATTACCACCATTTTAAAACTATTATTTTCTTTAAAAAAATGTTACCATCTTCATTAGCAGGAAAAGGGAAAGATTCTGTTTTGATATTATAAAGACTATTTTGGTTCTAGGTGTGTCTAAATTTAAAGGAAAGTAAACTGGCATGTGCTGTGACAGTGACTGTTTTCTGTTTTTGTGTTTAACAGTATATGAGAAAGCCTTTGCAGAGTTCCAGAAACTAAAGTAAGACTATATTCTCAAAGCTGTTTTCTTTTTTTTTAATCTTGTGCCTTTATGTGTCAGACTGGCTCGCCTAATGATGAATCACTGCTTCCTTCACATTTGCTTCATAACTGTGAGTTTGACATCTAATAGTTCAAAGTAATGATTTCCCAGGCTACACTGTGTTCATATACAGAAAACAATAGTCTTGTTTTCCTGCTTCAAATAATGTAAAGAATGAGGTTTTCTATAAATACACGTATATTCGACTCTCTCGTTCTGATTGTATTTGAATAGTAAAACATCTATTGGAAATTTCATTAACATTTGTTTCTCCACATTTCAAACAGTGCAAAGCCTTCAGATCATTTGAGACACTGCAGAAGGATTGTATGAGCCTTTGTAACCACTATATGCTCAGTGTTAATCAGTGTAGATCCATGCATTGATTAGACTTGTCACTTTAAAATATCAGTGCACTCCTAACTCCAAACTGCTACACTAAAACTAACTGCTTGTTTTGAATATTTTAGTTGTTTAATTAGCCTGTGCTTTGCCCTGTAAGGACCTGTGCAAGTCTGACTCAGGATTTAATCCCAGAATAAAGTTATGATTTTCAGATTAGGTCACTATATTATTTGATGACTTATTCTCCTTTTTCTGTGACTGAAGAAACTGTGTGTATGCTTTAAATCACTGCTGCACGAATGTAGCATGCTGCAAATCGAATCAGACACTTCCCTGGCACTATTGCATGAGCAGAATCTAAAGAGCACCATGAGGTGTAAAACTTCTGCATGCAAGTATGGTTTTTTTTTCCACCTACAGCTACAGTTTTGAAAAGTCTTGTTAAATCACTGCAACTCGAGTTGCATAAATGATCAATACAGCATTAGGAAAAATTACCCTGCATCTTTAAGTTGAGCAAATTCAAAAACTCCAAGGCTGGCTGTCTGGAAAGAGTCCAGCGCATTATAATTTGAGATAAAAATCTTGGTTAAAAATAGAAGCAGTCAGGTAGCAGAGATCCTTTGGGGTCTGTCGGCTAATTGGGCCAAAGCAAACCCCACACCCACACACACATTTTGCAAATCCTTTTAGGAAAGGGATTGAGACTGCAAACACTAAACACTGCATGCAGTGTGGAAACCATCCAAATCCCTTTTCCAATTAACATTCAAAGAGAGACATTTAAGCACAAGACTTTACAAACACATTGAAACAAGTGACACGCTGTTACCCTTTTGATTGAGCATCAACTTGCCAAGAGGAGAGCAGAGTTTCCCCAACCATCTGGTCCTGTGGCTGACCTCTGGTCCTGCCATGCTGCTCCAACAGCCCTCACATAACAATATCATTTTTCCCCAGGAAATATACATGAAACTCCTGAAGTAAACAATATTAAAAGGAGGTTTGGCTGTAAATCTAAAGCACCTTGTAGCACACCATCTGACCACTGTTAGTTAACCGAAAGGAAAAAGAAAAAAACAAAGAAAAAATGATGTGTGGTCAGAGCCAGGTAATGAAAGCTAACCAGAAACGACTTGGCTAAAGTAAAACTTGAACTAAATAAAGATTTGCTAGTGACAGAATTTATATAATAATACAAAACTGCTTTGATTTTTCAGGGCCGAGGCATACGCTGAGAAGAGTAAGTTTATCCTCCTGTTCTCCTTTATATAATAGCTTAATATAATAAACAATAGGAATAACCTAGAATGTTAACAACTGTTTGTTTTAGACCGTGGTAAGGTGGTGGGAGGACTGCCTGATGTGGTCACCATTATGGAAAAGAAGGTAGGCGTGTAAGTGTGTGAAACTGCATGCTTTCGGTCTCATTTTGCTAATAGGTATTTTTTATGCTTTCTGTAGACTTTGAGTTTAACATGTACAGTGTGTGGAGACCCCAAACCTCAGGTGTCATGGCTGAAGAACGGATCGGAAGTCGAGCCTGATGATCAGGTAAATGTGTTATTGGAGTTATGTCAAAATAAATTTCACAACTTGTTTTCAGCTAATTAAATTGTGTTTGCAAGTCACATATACAACCAGTTCATATTCAGACGGGGCTTTGTACTTTTATTTGATTCCTTCCCGATAAATACTGCCTTATTCTCTGACTCTGTTTAACCTCTTCAGAAACTCAACTCCTCCCCTCCTGTCTCATGATTAATTATCTCATTAACCATACACAATTACAACATAATGTTTCTATTAACTTGTCTTGTGGAAATTTCACACTCAGTATGTGTCTACTAAAATATGCTTCATAATATCATGTCTCCAGATTCATTTGATCAGATAATGTCTGTTCAAAAGTCAATGTCTATAATACTTACCATGATATTAAACCAGTATTCATATAAAATAATAGCAGTAATTAAAAAACTATTTCTGGTAATACTGAAAGTGGTAATGAAGTACTTTCTAAAAAGCATGCTTCATGTATATTTAAATTAGTACAAATGATTAGTAGTAATAAAATGCACAATACCCCAAAACCATTGATATGCTTTAGTTCCTTGTTAGGAACTTCATGAATGTGATGTTGTCCCTATTGTGTCAAAGCCCTTTTTATACATTCATCAGCCACTTTAGTAGGTACACCGATTCAAGAAATTATTAAAGTAAATATTTAATCAGCCAATGGCAGCAACGCCGTACATTTAGGCATGTAGGGGGATCAAAAGGGGGAAGAAAGGTGAGACTTTGAATGTACATGAGCAGGGTTATTTGTGACAGACGAGCTAGTCTAAGTATTCTGATCAAAAATAGAAGATCAACAATGGAGTACGTTTGGGATGTGGTGGAGCATGAGATTAGCAGCATGATGCCATCATGTCAATATGAAACAAAATCCCTGATGAATGTTTTAAGCATCTTGCTAAAGATGTTATAGCTGAAGACAACAGGATCCAATCCAAAACTAGCAACGTATACCTAATCAAGTGGCAGGTGAGTGTATTTACCACTGAGAGCACCAAGATTCAGGAAACTACACTACGCTTCTATACTGACCCCAAAGTCAGTATTATCAGCACAATCCTAGATCAGTAACGGAACAACTCTACCCCTCATAACTCATTAACCTACTTGCCAACCAGAGTACAGTAAGTCTACAGTCTGTCGTTAGTCAACGAAAGCTCTTTCAATAGCATCAGAATCCTGCAGCTTCTACCAGCTTTGAAGATTTAAGTTTGAGAAACCCCGGTCCAGGAGGAATTTGTGTTCAAGTTTTCTCCTTTATTCATTCCCTCACCTGCTAATAATCTGTCTAAAACAAGAAGCGAGGCCCTTGTTGATGAGTTTTCCAAACCTCTAGAGTGTCTCTCATGCACTTAGTTACAACAAAGGCTTCTCAGGATGCATGAAGATAAATGAAAAACAAACATGAACATAAGAAGATCCAGAGAATTTTATATCTAATCCTCATGTTTGACTCTGGAAGTACACAGCATGTCAATTCGAGTAGTGTAATAAGCAGAAGTTACTATTTTTTAGACATTTTGTCAGATTTTATAATATCTGTATCACAGAAATGACTGTAATTAGAATATTTTTTTCCTGAATAATACACAGCTTAACCTACATTGGTCTAGTAAATTAATGCATTTAACCAAGAACACATAGCATGCTAATGGCTACCATTTTTAGGATTTTAATCTACTAGACCGTTTTATTTCTTGTAATTAAAAGGCAAGTGTTTCTCTTAATAATGTAATTAACCTGCTGAAAGTACCACTCCATAAAATGTATAAATGTCCAGACCTTACAAGTGAGTGGGCAGGTACAAGAGGCAATTTAAAATGTTGGGCTCTTGTCTGCACCACTCGTAGTACATGGTACAATTCAGAATAAAGTACTCTGTGTAGACTAGAGTATCAGAGACAATATACAGTAGGGTTTTTTTTGGGTGGTCTAAAAAAATATGGATGGGGCACATCTGTATTGCTTTTCAATTCAATTTCACCATACTTTGGTTGAGCATGGTTGAGTGCAGCAGAACAGATAAGACAGGAATACATCATTAGTCCCTTTGTCCATTCAGCCCATGCACCAGTGCTCAGCTTTTGCTCATGCTGCCACTTTGAGTAAGGCATTTTAAAGAATAAATCATGCTAAACTCCCTCCACTGGCTTTCTCACTTTTTTTAACCTCTGAATTCATTTCCCAGTATGTGGTCTCCCTGGACCAGGGCAAGTTTGCCAGTCTGACGATCAAAGGCGTTTCCATGGAGGATTCTGGCAGATATACCATGATTGTCCAGAATAAATATGGAGGAGAGTCTGTGGATATAGTGGTGAGTGTTGCCGCTGTGTAACACAAATGACTGAATTTACTCTGAGCCGTCATCTGCAGCAGAAATATTTTCTTTCCATTGGTGCCCAACATGGGGATATATTTTGATCGCAGCAGCACAAAAACCTTACACGGGCCTGATATTTGACCTTGTTACTTTTGCTCACCCTGATTTTGACAGAATTAAAATAAAATAATACAAAATCCAAATTTCTCTAAAATTAAAAATACCTAAATAATTTCTATTGATGATGCAATGTGCTGCAGCCCTTTAAACAATCCTTTTGTGTTCACCGCTGTAGTAAATGCACGTATGGGTATTAACATTATGTCCTTGTCTCGCTATTTTTATCTCCAGGTCAGTGTGTATCGCCATGGGGAGAAAATCCCTGAGGCAAAACCAACTCTGACCCCTAAAACAATCATCCCACCTAAATTACCAATCGAGATCCCTCAGCCTAAGACTCAGCCTGCGCCGAGCGCTGCCCCTTCAACTCCTAGCCCTGCCGCTCCTAAGGCAGCACTGGGAAGAGGGGTGAAGAGTCCTACTCCAAGTCGGAGGAAGTGAAAAGCAAGGCAGAAGAAACGCAATCACTGGTGCACAATTAGAACACACATAGCTGAGAAGCCTTTATTGGTGTTCTCTATCTGGACTGAAATGGAGCTAATACTCTTTGCATTAAATTAGAGCATCAAGAAAACCCTGACATATGAAATACAAATCTTGCAATTGTGATGGAAAGAAAAAATTGTTTCAATGTGAAATCATTGTATAAAATCAGCAAAATTATACTAGAATAATAAAAAGCTAGGCACTATCTAAACATGAGGAAATTAGAAATTAATTGAAATGAACTCGAATAAAGCTACAAATTGAATAAAACTTTCTGATGAAAGAGTGAAATGTGTTTTAAATTCATTCTTGAAGTGTACAAATGACACCGCATGCAGTATAATTAAATATTAAATGGCTTGCAAATTACAGGAACATTGCCCAAAGTTAACTGACTTGAAGCCTCGATGCACCTTGGCACAATATTTCATATTTATCATAGTTAGGGGGAGTTTAACATGTTAGTCAAAACTTTTCCATAGGTATTAAATTGGGTTAAAGTCTAGTAAGTACAAATCCCAAAGGAGACCAGTAAACATTAATTTCATGCCCTATGGATGTGGGTTTTGTCCCCTGTAACCACGTGACCCATCCATCTTTGTTGTCATGCCACCAAAATACCCCCACAGCATACCAAAACCATGGGATCCCCTCACTGTAGAGTTTAAGAGCTTTCTCTTTAAATTCTTATCTGTGTCACAGTATATTTCAAGTAAACCAGAGAGATGGTCTGCTCCATCAAGGATTACTCTAAACATAGTTTTAAAAAAAAATGCTGTGTTATGTTACAAAGTTGCTAGGGCCACTAGCTTTGACATGCCCTCACATCACTAACCTGCTGACTATTACCTGCATTTTTGATGGAGTCTAGCACCAGATGTTCTTGGTATAATCACATACACACCACTCCCATTTGCCTTTGATTATGGGGCTGAGGCAAGTTTCATTATGAGCCAGTGGAGAGAGGTGCGCCCTTCTTGTCTATATTTTTCTGAATATGATCAGTGGTTTGGCTCAGTCTCACAGTCATTTACATATTTAAATGCACAAAAACAACACAGGCTTAGTATCACAGCTCACAAGATCAGTGTTCATTTTATGTTGTTTAAAGGGAGAAAAACACACACAGACACGCACCTTTCATGAAGAAAAAAGGGACAGGGAGAAATAGGTCAGGCTGTACAAAGTAGTCATTATACTGCCACCTCAACAACACGGTCAACTGATGACTGCAAATGTATAACACCATCCTCCTTAAGATCACCATGGTGAACACGCTGAAGATTAACTGGCAGTGAATCACCATTAAGTAAACCAGAGCTGTGAAGCGAAGCTGTCATACTAACGCTGCTGCCTCTCAAACCGTCATTACCAAATTTTACCTAATATTAACTCCAACTGTTAGCAGAAGATATGCATTCTGCCTTGCAGCCAAATATGTTCAGTCCTCCTGGTCATCAGCCAAAAGCAGAAACAGACATGCTATAAGTAGTCAGGTTTAAAGACTTGAGCCCAAGTGCAGGAAGTTGTGATGGCAGAGCTGATGAAAGGATGGCTGATGAGATTTGTGGTTCATTAAAGCTGATGAGAGGAGCAGACGGAGAAGAGGGAGGGAGGGGCGCAGGGTAAAGTCATTGTTTCTGTGTTTGCTGTTGCTAATAAAAGAAAGCGATTACACTTTGCTAGCCTGTTTATTCATTCTGTCAGAGGAGAACAAGAGACGGGTTGTGAGAGAACTGAGTAATGGAGAAGGCTGGAAGAGAGAAACTGAGACTGTTAGGTTCCTCATTTTGAGTGTTACTTTTGTTGCTGATGCGTCTGCTTTGGCAGCATGAGACGAGTCTTGTCATGCTTGTTAAAAACTTGTGAATGAGCTGAGTGATTGGATGAAGGGGGGGTGGGGGGGTGGGGGGAGTTTGTCTTATTTTCCGTGCTGTTGTGTTTTGCCTTGTTTTTTTATCCCTTTGGACATGAAGACAAACTTCATCATGCCATAAAGTGTTTATATACAGTAAGTGTGAAAGGAAAGGAGACAAGCTTGTGTGAGCGATGAATGCAGATAATTCAGTGTTGTGTGGCAATAAAGGACTTCTGAAGTGTGACAGAGGGAGACAGGAAGGGAAGGCTTGAGTGTATCAGAGAGAGCAGGAGGAAGGGAAAGAGAGACAGATCTGAATCATTTTGATGTTTTGCTGATCATCTGCTGTGAGATCATTTTCCTGACTTTTTAATTAATTTTCACATTTTTAATCAACATAATTACAGAGAATCCAAATGTTGCCATGGCAACCACTTTTTAATTTCAATAAACTTGGAAAATGACTCGTCTCTGCAAGACACACGGGTGAGCTGTGCACTCACAGAAATGCAATATGCATAGACACACAACCTGATCACAAACACACTTAAACACACAAATATATAACACACACACACACACACACACACACACACACACACACACACAAATTTATATATAGATGGCTGCTATCTAAATGGAATAGCTAGCCAGTACTGATAGCATGAAATTGTGTTTCCAAATATAACACCGTGTCATTGGAGTGTACGAGTGTGTGTCTGTGTATGTGTGCTAAGAAACCAGACTATAGAATATATATTTCTTTGCAATCCTCCACATGGGGGCACTATGGGAACATGCACACACACATAAAGACTCTGTGGCTCACTTTTAGGCACATGCACTGCCAAATACGGGTAGGGTTCTCTTTCTCCCACTCACACACGCACACAAACACACACACACACACACACACACACACACACACACACACACACACACACACACACACAACACACTCACACACTCACACAGACACACACACACACATCACACAGAGACAAGGGCCTGTCCTAAATTAAAGCAGCGCTGTTCAAACAATGAGATAAACTAGGAGCAGAGACATTTTGTGGTGTGCATGTGACACAAAGCCACATTTTAAAGTACCACTATTATCCACACATATATGTGGCTATAAATGCGCACACACACTTTTTGGTTTTAATTTGCAATCACAATTATTGGGGGGGGGGGGCATACTTCATTTATTGACACTGTGATGATAACTGCTGATTTTGGCTGAGAGGGGAGGAAAGAGGTGCACACAAGGATGTGAAAGAAAGAGGAATAAGAGGAACATGGGAAGGAGGAAAAAGAGGAAAGAGGACCTAACACAGGACAGCAGTGAGAGCAGATCTGTGCTATACTGCAAAGTTGTCTAGCCTTTTCAGCACAAATGATCATTTCTTTAGTTCACTGAGTGGTAAGGGCAGCTATTGGTAAAAAGGGAAGAAAAGCAAGAGTAATGTGGAGAGGGAGTGAAGGAAAGTTAAGAAAGAGCTGAGACTGAGCAACAGCAGAAGGGGAAAAGGTGTGGGAGACAAAAGAACAAATAGAGAAGAGGGAGGGAGAAAAGCAGGAAACAAGCAGAGAATGAGAGGGAATGAAAAAACTTAATAAGATGGGCTGATTAAACGTAATCTAAATGTAAAATAAAGTTGCCCTTTCACAACCCATGCCAACTAAGTATATGCAGTGTGTAATGGCGAGTAGCAATGTATCAAATTTGACATTATCAAGACAGCCATGTCTGCTCATTGATCAGAGAGGTGAAGAGTTAATTTGTAAACCTCTCACACTAGGAGATAATCTTAGATGACCATCAGTTGTGTCTTACCTCTGGCTGGGATATCCCTTCAGATTGGTGACAGATTCAAAGTAAATCAACCCAGTAATCCTTCAATGCGCCTTCATCCTTGCTACTGCAACGTTTGTCCTGTGCAATACAAATCAAGTATCAACTAGAAGAATAACCATACTTTGATAAGAAAACCAGCAAAGGATTTTCAACACGGGTTAGGATAATGACACAGAAAGGAAGACTTAAGGCATGACACTGTGAATGCAGCGGGAGGAAGATACACAGCTAGTGAAATTTCCGCACCACAGCTATACTTGGCTATCGAAATAGTTTGAGTTGAAGTTGTGTTCGATTATATTATGCATATTTGACCAATTAATGGTCTTTTCCTCAGGTGTTTCTTTTTCCTCCAGACACCTGTGTTCTATTTCTGTCACTTAAAACCATCCGTGAACTTGAAGGCTGGATTTGCAATCAGCATGTGTTATGACTCATCTTAACAAGGAAGCAAATTTAAGATTCACATCTGGTATATTTCCAGTGAAACTAAGCGATGCTTTGGAAGGTAAACTTCTGTCTCTGCTGGGAAATCAGGCAGCTCAGCTATACAGCAGCCCCCCTGGAGCTTGGAGTGACTCAGTGTCTGGCTGTTGGAGGCTTCAGCATGGTGGATGGCTGACAACATGGGGACTTACACCCTGAATATCTGGTCCAAGGACAACATGCCTATTTGCCATTCTGCACTGTAGCCATAATGCCACTCGGCTGCTACTGTGGGTCCTAACACATTAAATCCAAAGGCATTGTTTGTGTCAACACTGCTATAAATCATCTTGTAGAGTGAAAGAACCACAAGGATGTGCTTTGCTCTGGGAAGAGGCACGGTGTAAGTGGCTCATTGTTTTACAGAAATCCAAAACAACATGCAGGCTCTTGTATCCATGTTCAGGTTTCAGTTTTCAGTATAAATGCAATTTTTTTGGGGGGTAACTAACAAAGCTATTTATGCTGAAATACACATCTATGTGCTCACACATGCAAGTTAAACACAACATTACTAAAACAAGAGAGGAAAGAAAGGTTCAGCTTTTACAGCTCATCCGAGCAGTACCTGTACCACGTCTGAGCACGATTTGCTCTCCACTGTTCCCTGTTCAAAGTAGTTTGAGTCAAGTCTCTAAATTACTCACATTTATGAATGGGATTCCTGATCTATCTGCGACTATGTGACCTTACCATCAATGGAAATGGGAAAGAGTGGCCAGGGAAATCAGTTTCAGTGCACGTCTCTGAGAATGGGAGACAATGAGCATGACGTGTGATTTTTAACTTCAGTTTCTTATTCCTGAAAAGCTTACATTTTTAAAAATGCAAGACTCTCATCTGGCAGCAGCGTCTTCTCCCACTCCACACTCAATATTATCATACTCTCCTCAGCCTGCCTGTCTCTCTGCTTCTATCTTCCTTTGACTCCTATCGTTCTACTCCATTCATTTCAACTCTCATTTCTTCTATGTCCTCTTTCTTTTTTAGCTTCTCCTCCTTCACTCTTTTCACTCCTTCTCCAATCACTGTGAAATTGCAAGGCGGCTGGTTGGAGACTTCTCTGACAGAGAAATTTGGCTCAGATCA